TATGTTTGGGACTGTACAAAAGGTGTTTACTTAACAATATGTTTACTTAACAGCTTGTGAACAGATTTGTAACTAACAACTGGTTTGACTGTAATATTGCCATCTGGTACCTTTTGTTTTGATTCTATGTCATCACTTTCTTTCATCAACACTTTAAACTCTTGCTTTGCTTTCCTAAGTCTCTCAATCAGTTCAACTGGATTGATCTAAAATAGTGTGATTAAAAACCAGTGCAGTGATTTCTTTTATTATTTTGCCACTGAAATACAGTAAACTGTTGCATAACCTGATAGTAAGGGGTTGTTTATATGAAGGCAAGTCAGCCCAGGTACCTGAGAGCTAGCTAGCTCTGCCAAGAAAATTTTACCCTGTGTTTACACAAGACGTTTGAGGCGGGCCAGCTCATCAACACAAACCACTGGGCTCCAGCGGCAGGCTAGCTATTTTGTAATACTAATTACTAATAAATTTCTGTTTTTGCGGCAGTACTTCTGTGGCAGCTTGTTAGTGCTTGCCACCCAGGTAACTTGGTACCCATATAAATGCAAAATGAAACTTTGTAGGAAATAATTATAACAAAGGCAGGATGTTGCCTAAACCAGGCCAGCTTGGGTACCCATGCAGGCTGGCTCACATACCCTACATGTATATACGACAGTAATTACGGGAACCACTAAGCCAGACTGCTAACTTCGCTGTGCGCACGGAATATCTTCTGTGCGCATTTTTCGAGATGGTCATCATGTGGTTGTCAGGTGCGCATCATGAGCATGTTGCACAGAATTTTTTTTGATAAAAACTTTCAAAACTACTCAAAAGTTTGATACTTTAGTGATGTCACTGACATGCAAATATCTTCACTTATCACCTGAGTGCGCATTCTGTTCCTCCTGTGAAATAGAAGTGAACATTTTTTGGCAACAAAATCATATTCAGTGCGTAATTAATAGCAAAGTTAGCAGTCTGGCCACTGAGTATTTTAATAAAATATAAAACAATGGTAACTCCAAAAATATGTTTATTTTAAAATAAACATATATTAAATAAAATATGTTTATTTCAAATAAACATTTAAAATGTTTATTTTCGGAGTATTACGGAGTTTAAACCGTTGTTTTATATTTTATTACTGACAGTAAATAAATATAGTAATTTAATAAATTATTTATTATACCTCGCTAGGTAAACCATCTTCAAATTTCTCGCTGAATTCATTTGACAATTTCAGTACAGCATAGTCCAAATCCGAGTCAATTTTCTCCACCTGAAAACCACATGTAAATTTAATATAAACATGCGAGGATTTTCAAATTTACCGCGTAAATTTATACGAAACAAACACATAAATTCAAGATGTACATCCTAAAGAATTGATGTACATAAAATAACACTGTAAATAGATTTGTAAAATGTCAAATTAAAATGAAAAAAGCTTTTATAAATGGTTCAATTACTTCAATATAAAATAAAAACATACCAAAGCTTCTAAGCGGTTTGTCGCTGCTTCGACCGCCATTTTGCACCCGATTCTCACGTTGCGCGGAACAAATAAAAACGCAGACGCGGATTGCGGACGAACAGATTCGGGCGGAAACAAGGATAAAATGCGGACGATCATAAAAAACTACACGAATATGATGACTATTTTAAGGAATGTCAATTTAAAGATACTTGAATGTGTCCTTTTGGCATTGTACGTCAGTATTTTCTGATGCTCACTATACGCTACAATCATGATTATCAAACATATATACAAATCTAAAATTACTGTACACTATTTCAAATATTCTAGCTCTTGCTTTCTGGTTCCAAAACATCTCTAGTGCAAGTCAAACGCTCCAGTTTAACCTCAAGTTTAATAGACAGTGGTGGAGGAGGAGGCGGTGCTTCCTCTTCACCGTGTGCCTCATTCGATTCTTCCACTTTCTCTTTTCCTTTTCCTCCCTTATTTCCTTTCGCAGCGGCAGTAAGTGCAGACTTCCCTCGCTCGTTTTTCGCCTTGCCCTTCGAAGGTGGCATCAGCTTTTGATGTTTGTCACCGTCGCCTAGAAAAAAGCGGTTAAAAGTTCTCAAACATGGCCTGATATATTTCTTTTGAATATTTGTGTTAACCAAAAACGCATCGATTAAATTATTTCACAACGCACTCTTTCATAATTTCAGGAGGTATTAAATGCAACTTTTAGTTGAATCCGTTTTTTCCGAGTACATCAGTATCCTGCTGTAACAGACGACAAAGTAAAATA